CCTAAGCCATCTCCTTTCCCAGCTTTCTCAAGCCATTTGAAACTAAACCTGAAAGCCTGCTCTACTCTCCTAAAAAAGCCTCATTATATAAGTAATACATTTTCTATAACCTCTTGGGGTATGTGTGTGGAGGGTTATGATTAGCTATGACATCCGAACCGAATTTTGGGTGCAGGGGTCTATTCAGTCTCTTTAGAGTTGTTCCTATATATACCAGCTTGGTGTATATAGGAACTCTTTACATTTTTTTGTAAGTCTAAAACTTTTCAAAAATAAGGTTTGTTTTTCTAAAAGTCTTTGCACCATACTTTAAGATGACAGAGATATAATCTAAGTCTGTCTGGGTCTGTAATGGCTTGAATGTTGGTGTCCCCCAAGATTCCCATGTTGATGCTCTATTCCCCAATGTGATATATTAGAAGGCAGGGCCTGGGGCAGGTACGGAGGCGGAGATGAGGTCCCAAGAATGGAACACCCATTGTAAGAAGAGGAAGAGACACCAGAGCTTACTCTCTGCACCACGTGAGGACACAGTAAGAAGGTGGCTGTCTACAACCCAGGAAGAGGGCCTTCACCAAGGACCAAATCTGCCAGCCCCTTGATCTTGGGCTTTCTACCGTCAGAACTCTGAGAAATAAATGTATACTGTTTAAGCCACCCTGTTTATGGTATTTCGTTATGACAGTCCGAGAAGACTAAGACAGGGTCCATCTTCTAGGCGAGGCTTCTTTGGGAAGAGAGCATTTAGCGTTGCTGGAAGACTCTTGTCCTAGGTGTAAGTCAGGTTCATTTTGAGCCTAATTTCACTAGTAGGTAAATTGCATTTCCTTGTGATTTACTTTGATTAGAAAATGTTAATTTTTTAAATATTTTTAAAACATATTTTATTGTTTATTCTATTACAGCTGTCCCCACTCTTTCCCCCTTTGCCCACCTCTACCCAGCCCCCTTCCCAGGCAATCCCCACACCATTGTCCATGCCCATGGGTTATGTATATATGTTTTTTGGCTAATCCCTTTACCTTCTTTCACCCAGGGTCCCTCTCCTCCTTCCCATCTGACAGCTGTCAGTCTGTTCTCTGTATCTATGTCTCTGTTTATGTTTTGTGTGTTAGTTTATTTTGTTCATTACATTCCACATATAAGTGAGATTATATGGTATTTCTCCTTCACCAATGCCACTTCTGGAAATATAATCTAAGAATCCCTAAACACCCGTTCAAAAGAATATATGCACCCCTATGTTCATAGCAGTTGTTATTTACAATATTAGACAATGTTTAAAAACAATGCAGATAATATGTTGCTGCTTCTCTTCAGTTAGCCGTAGAGGAGGCGGTTTCAAACAAATGGCTACCCCCGGCTTAGCTTTGATCTGGAATAGTAATAACCTCATGACTGTTACACTGAACACTGCTTTTGTAAAGGGCATGTATAGCTCAGAGTAGAGGTCCAATCATCAGGCAGAATAAATTGCTTTCAGGGCATGTTGCTTGTATTTCTATTAGCCTTTGTTTATTTGCATCTTCAATAATAATTACGATGGTAATCTGGCATACTAATTCCAGAAGGTGCGCTAAGCCTTTTCTATGCATTATCCCCCTTAATCCTCATTCTACCTAAGAAGGGGAGCGTCCTGGTTTGCAAATGAGAAAATTAAAACCTAGGAAAGGTTAAGTGAACTTGCTTGAGGTCTCCCAGCTAATAAATGGCAAAGCTGGATTCAATCCCAGCTCCATATCATGGCAAACTCTGAGTTTTTCCCACTAGATGATAGCACTTGTTATTTACATACCAATACCTCTCAACTCAATTTAAATTCCCTGAGGGCATTGTGTTTTACCCAGTTTTGGGTCCCCAGACATAGCATAGAACATATCTGGAAAAGGTGTTTATTAAATATATTTTTGATTTCCCTTAATACATATATTTGGTTGCCTTCCTTAATCACGTATAAGAATAATCTTACCAGTTATTTTCAACTTCTTAAGTAATCATAACTTTAATGGCTAATTAATACTGTCAAGAAGCCTGAGCTTATGGAATTTTATAGAAGAAAAAGTTATTCCCACTTGAAACTGAATAGTAACTATATGTGCCACTAAAATTCAGATGTGTTGTTCTTGCTTGGTATTCATTTTTCCCTGAGGTAGGAAAGCCATTTTTGTCCTACTTAAAATCCAGGTAGAAGAGAAGATGTCTTTAAGAGCTCTTGTGGGAGAGCACATGAAATTTATTATTGTTTGTATATAGATTTTGGATGATGACCTTGGTACCTAAAATCTAAGACACATTCAAATTGCTATTAGACAGCAGGCAACTCTGTTTGGAAGGAGCAGTACAGTGAGTAATAACAATTTTATAACTTTCATATTTCTGTATCAAGAGCCATCAGATAATTGTAATGAGAATTGTATGTTAGGCTCTCATTACGTTTATGGTTCAACATTATTTTTACTCTACCCTGATAAAATGAATCTGATACAAAGTACTATTCTTCCTTTTCCTGAAGAGGTGCTTTAACACCAGAGATGTGCTGTGGATTAGGTCCTGCTCTCTTACATAATCACAAGAGGATAATTCCTCTGCTATAGCTAGTAACATTCTAAGTGATGCACATCTTCAAATTTCTCAAGAACTTTCCACTAAATCCAAAGTGTGCTCTCTTGTCCATGGTTCTCTCTCTCTCTGGCTCAACATAGAATGGAAATTCATTGCAGCCCTTTCAACAAGTTGAATTAAATTGCTTAGATCTTTGTAACCTACAATAATTCAGACATCCCTGTGCAATTATAGTGTTCATTATTTAGGACTCACAATGAGGCCAGTACCTGAGGTGATGCTAGGTGGTGAGCGAAGGTTGCAAATATGAAGCCCAAGTCCCAATTTCTCCATTTTGCTGTTATCCAGCTCTATGATATTAGCAAAGACCTTGCCCTATTCCTATGCAAAATTCAAAGTGGGCGATCTCTGAATTTAACATCTTATAGTTCTAAAATGTTATTGTAGAAACCCAGACCTGTAAGGCATGCCATGGTCTGTGAGATTTTTACATTCTGGTTTAATTAATAATAATTTTAAATTTCCATAGTTCTGAGTTCTGGAGGGAACTTAATTGTCTGCAAATGATTTATGTACTTAGATTTAGATATGGAAAGATTTACATTAAGCAAGCTGTATGAGTTTGTTCATGTTTAAAATTTATACTGAAGTGTGTAAGTAATAAAAAGAAATTGATATTAGGAAGCTACTTGAATCTATTGAGTTAAAAAAAACAACAAAAAATAACTTTGACTTAATTAACAATCTACCTACAAGTTGACTTTCTGCTACTTTAGTAAAGCTCTTTACAGGCTCTTGTTCAACTACTATTTCAGAAAGTGCCTATTTTGGAGGTGCGCCCTGGGGTCTCCTTGCCCCTACTTGGAGAAACATTTGCATGACAAAAGTAACTCCTAGAAAGCACCAGACAGTTCCAGGGTATGGGAAGGTCATAGAGCTAAAGGGAATGGGGCAAATGGGTGGTCAGAAATGATTTTTGAGGTGCTGATGGGATTTGGAATTAGCTTTTTATCCAAGTCAAGAAGAAAGTTATCAGATTTCTGGGGAGTTTGGTTTTAGATATTTCAAATTTGAGATGATTATAACGCATCCGATCAAAGATCTCCAGTGGACAATTGTGTATGCAAATTATATAATTCCCCCATTAACTTTATGGGGTAGGTTTTATTACTATCATGCTTACATGTAGGACATGTAATTGTTATTCTGGTGACCCATGTTCAAGGACACGTAGATAGTAAGTAGTAATGTTGCCATTTGAATCCAGGCAGCCTGAGTCCTCAGCCTTCTTTCTTACCATGTAGATTCACTGCTTTTCCCAATTCCCTTCATGATAGTACAGGAAAATATATACAGTCACTGTGACTGAATGAAAAATAAGTGGATTCACAGACAGAGGTTACCCAAGAATTCTCATTATCTATATTCAAATACTCATATACTACAAATACATAATATTTTATATAAGTCTGAATAGTAGATTTTATAAATTAATATTTAATGAATCTGTGGAAGAAATGCGTATTCAATATATCATATGTTCCAAGAGTTCTGGATAAGGCTTCATTCTTTCACTCATTTATTCATTCTGTCATCCATTCAGTGGACATTTATTAAGCCTCTAGTGTATACCAGGTACTGCAGTAAAGATAAGAAAGAAGTTTCTTTTCTCAATGAATTTATACTGTAGAGGGAGAGAGCAACATAAATCAAGTAAGTGTTCATGTGAATGTAAAATTCAACTATAATGAGAGCTAGAGGAAAAGAAGCTACTATACAGAAGAGAGATTATATGCAAATATCAGAACAAAATGAAGAAATAAGGATTTTAAAAAAGGAGAGTTTAAGAAGACTCTGGGACATCTCCTAAAAAGCCAGCATCTAAATCATAAGGATGACAGAAGGAGAAGAGGAAGAGCAAGAAATTGAAAAATTATTTGAAAAAGTAATGAAAGAGACCGTCCCCAATTTGGTGAAGGAAATAGACATACAAGTTCAGGAAACATAGAGTCCAAGAAACATCATAATTAAAATGCCAAAGGTGAAAGAGAAAGAGAGACTCTTAAAAGCATCAAGAGAAAGGCAGAGAGTTATTTACAAATGAGTCCCCATAAGCTGATTTCTCAAAAGAAACTTTGCAAGCAAGAAGGGTCTGGCAAGAAGTTTACAAAGCAATGAAAAGCAAGGACCTACAACCAAGATTACTCTAGCCCCCAAAACTATCACTTAGAATTGAAGGACAGGTAAAGTGCTTCCTAGGCAAGGTAAAGCTAAAGGAGTTCATCATCACTGAGCCCCTATTATATGAACTGTTAAAGGGTCTTATTTAAGAAAATGAAGGTCAAAACTATACACATTAAAATGACAGAGGGTGAGTGGCTGCAGCTGCGAGCGGAGGAGGCAGGCAGCTGAGCAGGACCAGGAGCTGGGTGGGCACCATGGCCGCGATCACCGCTATGGAGGCGGTGAAACGCAAGATCCAAGCCCTGCAGCAACAGGCCAATGATGCAGAAAAGAGGGCCGAGCGCCTCCAGAGGGAAGTGGAGGGAGAGAGGCAGGCCAGGAACAGGCTGAGGCGGAGGTGGCCTCCTTGAACCATTGGATCCAGCTGGTTGAAGAGGAGCTGGACTGTGCTCAGGAGCACCTGGCCACTGCCCTGAAAAAGCGGGAGGAAGCTGAGGAAGCTGCTGATGAAAGTGAGAGAGGTATGAAGGTTATTGAAAACAGAGCTTTAAAAGATGAAGAAAAGATGGAACTCCAGGAAATCCAACTCAAAGAAGCGAAGCACATTGCAGAAGAGGCAGATAGGAAGTATGAAGAGGTGGCTCGTAAATTGGTGATTATTGAGGGCAATTTGGAACGCACAGAGGAACGAGCTGAGCTGGCAGAGTCCCGTTGCCGAGAGATGGATGAGCAGATCAGACTGATGGACCAGACCCTGAAGTGTCTGAGTGCTGCTGAAGAAAAGTACTCTCAAAAAGAAGACAAATATGAGGAAGAGATGAAGATTCTTACTGATAAACTCAAGGAAGCAGAGACCCGTGCCGAGTTTGCTGAGAGATCGGTAGCCAAGCTGGGAAAGACAATTGATGACTTGGAAGATAAACTGAAATGCAACAAAGAGGAACATCTCTGTACACAAAGGATGCTGGACCAGACTCTGCTTGACCTGAATGAGATGTAGAGCACCTCAGTCCTGCCCTGCAGCTGCTCCTCCCTCTGACCCTGACTCTGCCTCAGGCCAGCTGGCCAGAAGCTGACATTTAAATTGAGGGCTGATCTTTAACTGGAAGGCTGCTTTCTCCTTTTGCTTCCCCCACCCCCCTACTCCCACCCAGTGTTCTCCCAGAGATTCTGGTTGGGCTAGAGGCTGAACACCTTTGGGAAACAACATTTAAGGGAATGTGAGCACAATGCAAAATGTCTTTAAAAGCATGTTGTGATGTGTACATTTTGCAATTACCTTTGTTGTTGTTGTTGTTGTTGTTGTTGTAGCAACCATTTGTAAAACATTCCAAATAATTCCACAGTTCTCAAGCAGCAGTCTAATCCATTTCTTTTTAGAAGGTAATTTTTCAGCTTAGTCCATATTGCCTTCTCCACAGAGGAGGGAAAGAAGTATGGGCTTGCCTTATTGAGAACCAAACAGAGCCCAGAGAAAGACCCCGCTATAGGGGTCATTGCTTTGTGCAGAGTACCAGTCAAATCAGGAAGGGGATTCCAGGAGGAGTTAGCCAAAAAAAAAAAAAAAAAAAAGCGATGTTCAGGTTTCAGCTTTAAGGTATTTTTGGGTACTTTTTTTTTTTTTAATCAGAAGTGACCAAATTAAAATGGTGATACCTCTCTGAGACCAAATCCTTGTCCCATCTCTGCCCCCTTCTCAATGGTTCACAAAATGGATCATGTGTCTCTTATGTTGAAGTGACTAGTTATTTGCTCTCGTGCCTCCTTGAAAGAAAGAAAATTATGTTTTTGCCACTGATTTAGCCATATGAAATCATCTCATTGCCCTTTTCTGGGTCTGAAGCTGCTGTCTAAAAGTGCCATCTCATTATGCTTTGTATCAGTTAGTGCTGGAGAAATCTTGAATAGTTGATGTACAAAACTTTTAAAATTTTATATTATTTTGAAACTTTGCTTCTTTGGGGTTTGGGCGCATTGGCCACCCCATCTGGCTGCGAAAGCTCTCTACAGTCTGGGCTGGCAGTGTGCTGATCTTTAAGTTTCTTTCCTTACCCAGTTTGCCCTTATTGGTGAGGTTTTTGTGAGGTCTGTTAGGAGCGCATCCTGCAGCTTACTGGCTTAAAATGTACTCTCCTTTGGTATGGTCTCATCGGGGGCCGATTGAGAGAAAGAGAAACCAACAGTGCAACTATTTTGATACTGAAAATTGACAACTGTCTTTTTAAAATAAAGAACCAGTCCCTCAAAAAAACAAAAAGACAACAAACAACTATCAACAACTGAATCTAAAAAACAAAAACAAACTAAACAAATAACTAGGACAGGAATAGAATCGCAGAAATGGAGATCGTTTGGAGGGTTATCAACTGGGAGCAGGAAGGGAGAGAATGGGAGAAAAGGTACAGGGATTTAGAAGCATAATTGGTAGGTACAAAATAGACAGGGGGATGTTAAGAACAGTACAGACAATGGAGAAGCCAAAGAACTTATATGTATGACCCATGGACATGAACTAAGGCAGGGAATGCTGGAGGGAGAGAGGGTGCAGGGCAGAGGGGGATAAAATGGAGAAAAAATGGGACAACTGTAATAGCATAATCAATAAAATATACTTAAGAAAAAGAAAAAGAACATGAAGGAAGTAATAATTCTTCACATGCTAAATAGCATGGAGGTGATTACTGAAATGACTTATGAGTTATGTGACTATAGCTAGTGTGTTCCCCCTCTCCAATGATGGAATTCATCCCCAGTTTTTTCTCTTTGTAACATTTCAGAATAATTCTTGTCCCTACAGGTGAACACACAATGATTACATTGAAGGGCATTTTTGTCTGTGGCATGATTATGCTTATACTCATGAGTCTCATGTCACATTTGCTTCCATTTATGAAAATAAGACACTCATCCAAAAGCAATTAACACCAGTTTTTTTTTAGTCTGACATCAAACTCATCTACCAAATCTTTCCCAATTTTTAAAATGTTTTCTTAATTTCTTTATTACAGAGTATTGTTTGCCAAACTTCCATCACTAGTCTATTAGCACAAACTTGAGACTAATGAATATAAGTAGTTTGATGCAGCAATAATGGTTTAAAAGTGATGTTGGTAATACCTAACATTTATATAAAAATGCATAGTTTATGAACACTTAAGCATACACTGTTATTGAGCCCCACAGAACACCATGACAGGGATTCTCAGTCCTAGATCAGGATCAGCCCAGGACAGTGTTAAGACATTTGGATGTCTGAGTTCCAATGTAGAGCTAATGAATCAGAATCCTCAGGATAGTAGTTTTTGTATGAATAGTTTAAAAAAATTATGTGTTTATGAAATATGGCCAGGCCTCATGAAACAATAGAATAGGTCCACTATTTTCATGTTTCAGATGAGGAAATCAAGACAAAATAATTTTCATCAAATCACATGTCTTTCTAACCCAGTAATTCTTCCAAGTTCCAATGCCCATTTTATAACATAGTTTGTAATTTTCTGCTATCTTGAAGTTCATATATTATGATAAATATATTATAATTAAAAAATTATATATGAAGTTCTGCTACCAGTAAAGATGAAGAAGGATGTGAAAGAACTTCCTCACTCCCAAAACGACAAAAACCATGAAATAAACAACAAAAAAGCACCCATTTTAAAAATCAGTGAAAGTGCTGTAGATGTAAAGAAATCTCAAAAAAAAAACAAGGTCTAGAAAAACATGCCATTCCAAAGTGAGAAGGAGACAGAGGACATTTTCATACCTGTGGCTAGTTGTAGAGATTAGGAGTAGGGCAGATAGTCGGAGAGAATCTGTCTGGGAAGGGCAATGTTGGCTTCTATTCAGAGAAGTTAGTCAAACTTTGGGTGAACCTGTGGTTCTGTAAGACACAAAATCCAAAAATAAACTCATGAAAGGATAAAAAAATTTAATAGCCTTATATCTATTGAAGAAATTCGGCTTCTTATTTGAAACTTTCCTACAAAAAAAATCTTCAGGTTCAGATGGGGTCACTGGTGAATGCTATCAAACATTCAAGAAAACAAATTATCCTGCATAAACTCTTTCAGAAAATAGAAGAGGTGATATGAGTATTCAACTTATCAGGCTAACAATAATCCTGATGCAAAAACAACATGAGAACATCACAAATAAAGAAAACTAAAGACCAATATCACTCAGTAATAATGCAAAAGTTCTCAGAAAAAAGATAATCCAACACTAGATAAAAAGGATAAAAATATCATGACTACTTGAGGTTTATCTCAAGAATCTGTCCTTGGTTCAACATTTAAAAAGCCATCAGTGAAATTTATCACATTAGTCAAGTCAAAGAGAAAAAGTCATCTCAAAAAAGATATTTGATGCAGAAATATGTTGAGAAAATCAACATATACTCATGCCAAAACTCTCAACAAAGTGTAAACAGAAAAGAGCCTCTTTAATTGGAAAAAGTCTGTAGATGGAAAAACCTATAGCTAACCTTATATTTAATGGAAAAAATATTGAGTGCTCTACTCCAAAGATGAGCAAGATGGCAAGGAGGTTGTTCCTGTCCCTTTATTTCACATTGATCTGAAATTCTTAGACAGAACAACACCACAGGCCGAAGAAATAAGAAGCACAATTATTGAAAGGAAGAGAAAAAACTTTCTTGTTATTTGCAGATATCATGATTGTATATGTAGAAAACCTTAAGGCACCTACAAAAAATAGTAGAGTTAATAAATTATTTTAATAAAGTAACTGAATTACAAGATCAGTATTCAAAAATTAATTATATTTCTATATACATATATAAAAAACTAGAAAATAAAATTTAAAAACAATATTATGTACAGTAACATCATGAAATACTTATGACCCCTGTAAAAGATGTGAAAGACCTCTACATAGAAAATGGCAAAATATTGCAGAAAAAATGGAAAGACCTAAATAAATGTTCATAGTTTGGAAGACTCAATATTGTTAAGAAACCCATTTTTTTCCCAACTGGATCTATATATTCAAGCCCATCCTAATCAAAATCCATCAATGTGTATTTTTCAGAAATTGACAAGATAATACCTAAATTTATATAGAAATTAAAACCATAGTATACAACATGGTACTTATGTATGGAGAAACATAGAACATAACAGAATAAAGAGACCAAAAGTAGAGCTATGCATATAAGATCTATTGATTTTTAACAAACTTCAACGGCAAATAAAGCTTTATATTTTTAATAAATGATGCTGGAACAACTGACTATCCATATGCAAAAAGAAAATTAACCTCTACCTCATGCCATACATAAAATTTAATTGAAATAGACTGACCTCAACATAAGAGATAAAAACCATAAAACTTCTAGAAAAGAAGTCTATCCTTGTGAACTTTGGGTAGGCAGGCTTTTTGACAGGATACCAAAAACACTAAATCTTAAAAATATAAATTAGGCTTATCAAGATTAAAGTCATCTACTCTACAAAGCAAGCTGTTAAGGAAATGATGAGCCATGAACTGGGAGGTAATATTTGCCATATATTTACCTGACAAAAGCTTTGTACCCTAAAACAATCTATGGAATGCTTTTATCTGTTATCTAAGAAGAAATAAATTTTGACAGGCTACCAAAAACACTAAATCTTAAAAATATAAATTAGGCTTATCAAGATTAAAATCATCTACTTTCCAAAAGGAGATGTTAAGGAAATGATAAGCCAGGAACTAGGAGGTAATATTTGCAATATATTTACCTGACAAAAGCTTCATATCAAAAAACAATCTATAAAATGCTTTTAACTGTAACCTAAGGAAAAATTAAATAATTTAAAATAAAACATGTTTCACGATGCAGAAGTAAAGTAGTCAGATGCTTACATTTAGAGGGAGCATCAGTCTGACTCTGACAGCTAGGAATGCAGAACAACTTGAAGAAGAGGGTTGGTGTCTAGGACATGATTTTCTGAGCTGAAGAACAACTGTTGTAAGTCTAAACAAAACCAAGTACTCTCTTACGTTTGTTTTCATATTCGCTGAAATCCTGGAGATTTCAACATGTATTAAAACTATGCAAATAGACTTTGTGTTTATGTGTAAAATGCAGTTAGATTCTCAGCTGGGATCATTAACAGATTTCTATACCCACAGGAAAATGCTATGG